TTTTAGCACGTAGTTATTTATTATTAGCATTGTTCTTCCGACGTCTGATTTCTTTTTAATTATAGGAAATGCGTTTTTCTAAGGTACATAAACTTTTGGGATTGACTGTATAGCCAATACATCCTTAAGATTCCGCGAGGTCTCGCAAGTTGGAAATTAAGTAAAATCATAGTCTTGACGGTCGTGGAGAGCATGCGACTTATTCTTCGATTTGAATAATTGCAATTTGGTGGTTCCGTCGGGTTCCGCGACCCCGGAACTTTTTTACATCGGCTTCGGCAAATTCAATGACCTTGATACCGAGCCACGCGACCTGTGAGTGTCTCAACGATCGACGGCTCCTGTACTGATATCGGATCGCACCGACACGAGAAGACTCTTACATCGCTCCCCGCGATTCTATTCAACCCGATATCGAGTTCCACGACCCGTGAGGCATCGATTCCAACGACCAACGTTCCCGACAAGTCTCCCGATCTCGTACCTTTTTAATATCGATATCGACCAGTCGATCGTCGTATTAATACATCCCTCGCGTCCACGATACCCATAAAATTAAGATACGTGAAACACCGAGGAAGACATCAGGTTTCAAAGCCTCTCTTGGGTTAGGTAATTTCGATAAACCGGCTGAAACTCGATTTGCAGTCTTGACAAGAAAGTGATTTCTGAAGGGAAGCACGAAAAGCCATTTATCCTCGCATCCGTCCGTTTGTTTGGTTTATTTCCTAACATGCGAAGGCACTATCCATATACATGGCATGCATCGCGGGGTCGGAGCTTCGAAAATTCAAACGAGCGACGACGACCAGTCCTCTACGTTCCTTTTTCCTTCCAAAGCTTTAATCCCCCAGACGGTAATTCCATACCTTCGGAACGACTCGTAGCAAAGATTCCCCGCATTCGAGCCACGTTTCTCCGTCACCACGTGACCGTAATACGGAACGGGACACACGGGATGTGCGCACGTCCTCTCGCAGCTTCCGCGATTAAAATCATTTTTAGTTAAGAACGTTGGGTTCGTGAAAAAATCCGTTAGCCGACGTAAAATGAAAATTTCCTATACCGTGTCGCCGCCGGCTGAAGTACTTTCCCATGCACGATATGGAAATTAAGAATTAGACGGCGCTTCGTTGCCCGTTCGCATAGACGAACACTCATCGCAGAGAATGCAATGAATTTTTGAAACTTCGTTAACTCCGTAACGAGGTCGTTCGATGGATATCTTATCGTCATACAAAGATTATTCGTGGCAAACATTTCCACGTGCACAACACATTGTTATACATTGCGCGAAGCATGGAGAACGTATCGTCGAGAGAGAAAGAAAGACGGAAAGGTAATTAAGAAAATAATAGTTGCCTGTTTACTACGGTACGAGGCCGTAACGGGATCATTTGAAACGAGTTTAAAAAATAATACGGTAATTAGCGTAACCGAGGAAACGGCCGGCATTTAACGTCAATGAAGTGGGATCATGGCGAGACGTGGCGGCGTCGCTAGAGGAAAAAACGCAGACGCATTTCTTTTTTAGAAAATAAAGTCTCGGTATTAATCGCGTCGACGTTATACCGCAACGTAGGCGTCGTACCTTTTCATCGGGATTTCTCTCTCTCGCTCTCGCTTTCGCTCTCACCCACTTCTTTTCAATGTCTATCCACCAACGTCGAAATCAACTCACCCTTTAAGCGCGACTGAGGGAGTGTGATTTTTTAAACGCAACCACTTTCTCTCCGAGGGACGCAGATCGGATATCTGTACGTATAGCGTCGGCCGGATGCCTGTTGGGAAACAAATGTGAAAGGTCACGCTGAATATTACCATCCGGCCTCGTGATTTTTCGCGGCCAATTTTCCATCAACTTTCCAATCAAACTCAAAATTTCATTTGTTACGAGCGAATGCGCGTTGCTTTCGTTCGCACATGGGGAAAACACATGCATGTATGCGCATAAGCGGAGTGTTCCATCTCATAAATTTAAATTGTACGAAGAACAAACGGTATTGGCGAGAGATAAAAATACGCAGAACCTGAAACATATTATTCCGGATATCGATTTCGTGGTTAAGAAGGAGAACTTTTTTTTTCGTTGCTCTACGTAATTGTAGATAGGGCGGAGAGTTATACGTCGCACGCTGTGGGCGAATCCGAAGTCCGGAGGGTGCTATTGAATCTCTCGCAGACGCTATTTCATTTCTCCGGCTTGGTCGCGACAGACATCGATTTATTGGATACGATCCGTCAGGCCGGAAGGTATTTCTCCCGGTTCCCGTGTAATGCCTGCGCTTCCGGGGATCAGTATCACAAGATATAGCGGGCGAGCTCCGTTAAATCAAATTCGTGTCCACCGCGAGCGTAAGAGAGCGTCCACCTTGAATGTCCGAGGTAAAAAAGGTAGTGGGAAAAAATTAGAAATTGATCCGGACTCCTCGGAGTCCTCGATTCACTCGCGTCATTCTCTTCATGAAACATTTTATATTTAATTGGAGATTTTCTGAAGATAGAGAACGTTCTTTCTCCGCGGAAAGCATAATCGTGAAATATGCTCACCTCGGCAGCAGGGGGAGACGAATACGAGAGTCGTAACGTTCCGCGATTTCTCACACGTTAAATTGACGACCTCGTAACGCTACGAAACGAACGGTGAAAAGTACAGATTGATCCCTGGCTTTCTGCAACGCTCGTTTGCTACATTTATGAAGAATAAGCTGCGCGATTGCAATTTTTCCTATTGATCCGAGTAATTCGCGAGATTATATTGTCGCTCTTAAGACGGTCTCCGTGACAAGTGCACACGCGCGGCTTGTACTTGGAAACGACGACGACGACGCGAGGTGCTCGCATATTCGCGTGACCAGCGGCTGTAAAAATTCGTGTTCGCGCAATTGTAGAAGCGTGACGTGTGTGTTCATCGACGTGACGCTAGGTAAAAATAGAACACACTTTCTGGGCCACCGCAGATTCAATTGCATAAACAGTCATCGAATACAGGTTTATTGATATTAAATTATTTACAGTTTAATATTGAAACGTTCAGTTTACCGGCTTAATAAATCGATGAGATTTCGCTTCGTCGTCAGTGAGTTACGGTTTGAACGAGCTTATAAATCGGAGGGGGCGTCAGAAACAGGGAGAAATCACACTCGACCTCTGGCACGATTCTTGTGGGTGACAAACGTCGTTTGTTCGAGAGATCGGCGACACTTAACGAATCACGGAAAAACAAAAATATCGATTCTAGGTTCAACAAAATGTGTTAACGTCACGACTGTGACGCAGTGCCGCGTGGAGAGGAGAGAACTTTATTGACCTAAATACTATTGATAATAGAGGGGCTCGGTCGACCAAGAGGCGCCACAAGGTGCTGTATCTTTAATGCATCAGGATTCTTGGAACCTGGGGCTCGCCGACACATAGATCTCTCACAGGGGTATTAACCTTTACCTCTTTCAGTGAATGCATCGGACTTGCAAATCATTTATATTTTAAGTCATGACGCTCTCTGTCGTATTGTAAAATTGAAAATGATTCTCAGATTAAACCACTTAAGCGAATAAAGAGCGTGTTTCGTATTATGATTCGTGCGAGTCAGATATAATTTTCATTAAGCCACTTCAACTTGAAGTTCGTTACACGGTTAAGTCGATCATGATGTTCCGAATTAAGTGGTCGGTGCAGAGTAGGTTAAAGTTCTTAGAATTACCTACCCACTTGATATCAGAAAGTTCGTCGAGGTACAAGCATACAACATCAGAGAACAACTCTAATTTGATCTCTCTGTCAGTGGAACGACACCAGTTTCCTTAAGTCTGGCATACAGTATCGCATACTTGGAGTCGGCTATCTGGTCCATCGAGTCAGATACCGCGGGTGAACTTCGTTGACCCAAATATAAGCGCGAATGAAGGAGGCTAGGAAGTAGTCCGGCGAAGCTTCGACCTCGGCCTTTAATCCTCCACGTTCTACCGACCATTTTTCTTCGTTCCAAATGCGATCCGCGCTATTCGTTTCATTGTACCACCTGCCGTTTCGCGTCCATCCATCGCTTTATTTGTTAATTCTGTTTGCTCGATCTGATCCATCCCCTCGGTGAATTTCACTGGACACTTTATAAATCCCTCGAGCGTATAACGCGGAATAAGTAGGCAGTTAATAATGCGGCGGTAAATCTAGCGAACGAGCCCGGGATCTCGGAGAAACGCGTCCATAAAATTGGAATACGCTGCCGACTACTCGACTTCGCTGAAAATCTAATAAACACAGAAAGGTCGAGCAGAGCTGGCGCTGATTGACGCTAGTTTCTCACGCGATTGTTCCGCGGATACGATCTTGACGTTTTTATTTCTTTCGCTGCGAACAAGTTCCATACACGGTTACTCAATATTAAATTTGATTCTGAACTTCATTTGCCCCGTCATTCATGACATTCGATATACGCGAGTCGGATATGTTTCCTCCATTCGCGATTATTTAAGTCGAGGAAGTATTCAGGGAGAAATTCAGTCACGGTTGTCCTAGCCGACAGTGATGTCATTCGACTTTTAACAGACTTGTCCGCTCGTCTATTCGCAACGCGATCAATACGATCTTAGCCGCGAGCGGTAACGACAAAAATACGATAAGGATTTAATTAACCAACGTTACGGGGTCAACGTACCCAACGGCGACTCGCTTTTTAACCCGTCGCGTGTCGCGGAAAATAGCCACCGTCTGCTGGAAAAAGAGAGGATCTCTGTTCGATGAGCCCGTTAATACTCTCTGTCCTCGTCGACTTGGGAATCGTGGCCCGGGTCGTTCCCCGACGTGACAGCTGCCTCTCTAACACGGAATTAATGCTATGTTCCAGAGATTGGTCGCTGAGCTGAATAAAGAACAGCAGGCTTTCATTGCTAGCAAGCACACCGAAAAGGGTGAGGCTGTTGCACCGTGGGTCGGTGCACCTAACGAGGACGTACTACGCGAGGAATGCTTATCTCTGTCGACGGTGAGTAATTCCCCCGGTTTCCTGACGCATAGAACACTTCGCCGTGGCCCGCGGAACGAAGCCACGGTGTCAGAAGTGCTCCGTAGTCAAGGAGTCCCACTGGCACACAATGGGCTTTCGCCGCGCGTGACGGTGCAACGATTTTCCGCAGTGTACACCGTCGGATCTTCGGCCAATATTGGACAAATACTCGATGCGATTAACAATTGACCGTTCCAATTAGCGAGTAAATTCTTAATCGAGTCTACGACAAATCAGTTTAACGAGTGCTCCGCTGGAGATTTGTCGTACACTGTGTAACCACTTAGTTGAATTTTTCTCGATCAAAGTACAATTTGAACGCATCGACCGATCGTGAACCGATGAAATATACGCTCGTCGGTCGGGTCGACTCTTGTTATGCTTTGAGGTTGCCAATGTGGTGATTGATCTCGTGCTGATTTATGCAGATCGGTACCAGATACGCTCATGTTTAATTTGATTCGCGCATTAATAATACGTATGAATTATAATGCGGTGAATGTTTGCCAGGAACGCTTTGAAATTGTTGTGTCAATTTATGTTAATGGCATCGAACCAAGCCGACCGCACGATTTTAAGAGACGCGTGAAGCGAATGAAACGAGATGTACATTATTTCAGCTCTCGCGCGCGTTTATTTCGTTTTTAAATTGACAACTTTGAAGACGTGACTAAATCTCGCAATTGCCAGAGCCGATGAGTACAATTAGTAAAATTGTAAATGGAACCAGGATATCCGTTAATTACATTCAACAAATCCGGTCGTGAATAACGGCTCGATTCGGAATTGGATTTCCCGGGCTAATTCGTTCCGCGAATCCGAAAAAAAAGACAATCTATTGTACCTGTCGCGTTGAGAATCGATCGCTCTTTAATTAGACTTCTTGAAACCGAATATACGTTTCATTGGGTCGGACCACTATTTTCGATAACCGCGGAGTTCGATGAGAACGGTCAGTCGCGGTGGTCTACGATATGAATAGCGGTAGAGTCACGTGCAGCCGCGAAACTCGCGACCGAGGGAAGTTGGCGAAGCGTGTGAGCATTGATTTCAGGACCAGCGCAACTTCCTGAGACCACCACCCGAAGGAGTGGATTTCCACTGGGACTTCGAGGCCGTGCAACCGATGGCGGAGGCCACTCTGGCGCTCGATCCCAACCTGCAGGAGATGAGGTTCCGTCTGGTACCCAAAGAGTGAGTCGTTTCGTCAACAGTACCGTTTCGAATTTGGAAGATATCAGAAAAATCTATAACAGTTTAACATCAAAGAATCTGAGATACTTCCGTCTCGCTGTTAATGAGAAGAATTTTATTCCGAATATTTTCGCGTAAAAGACTTCATCTAAAGATAGCCAGCTCGTGGATTCGTGCCACAGATATCACAAATCCCGGAACAAATTTCCGGAAGTGGCTGGTTCAACGATCCCCTAATTTCCAGCTATCTCGAGACCGTGGTTTCTGTGCTCCCTTCGTCGACGTATAACATACTACGTGCATAACGCAAAATGGATTATATAGCAAATTTTGGTTGAAATTATATCAGCCCCGCGGTTCATCGTTAATTGGCAATTTCCAAAGTGGCGTCCGAACAGGAAGTCAATGTCCCTCATCGAGACCGTCGCGATTCGCGCCTTCCCGATTAATCCGTGACACCCTTACCATTTATCGTGCAGAATATCTGAAGAGAATTTCTGGCGTAACTACTTCTACCGGGTATCGGTCCTGCGCCAAAGCCACGAGCTGAACACAATGGCCAATCAGGCGGAAAACAATGTAAACCAAACCACTACCGGAAGCGTGGATCAACCTGAAGGTAAAGCTGGACAACTCACACGCTTATCCAGTACTATTTTTAAATATATTGCCTCCTTTATTATGAATCCTCCGTTCATGCACCGTTTTTGCCTCGGCCAGTTAGAATATCTGCGTTGTCTTTTTGAATCGACGAACTTCATCGAATCGTTACACTCACATGGTAGCTAGTAGTGTTTTTTGTATTCGTTGTTTCTCGATGGGAACGAGCGTTTGGAAGGTAAGTCGAGAGCTCGAGTTCATTCCATTAAGTGTGATGTTCCTCATTTTTCGTGGTCGAAAGCAACGGAGATATTTTGGATGGTCAGGTTAAACGAATGCACGGCATACAAGGAGTGTACGGCCGATGGCTGATAATTCAGACCCTTCGCACATCTCGTTAACCGTAAGATAGTAAATCGTGAGTAGGGTAGAGCGAAGAGTAGTCGTTGCATAATTCAGGGGACCAAGTCTGCTCGATCCCGACTGCAAGATAAATGAAATCCATGTTTCATGTAAAGCAAAGGTCCGAGATTAACTAAAATCAAATTTCCCAACCTGAAAACATCGCGCTGTAACAGATTCGTAATAGATCGATAAACATGGAACAGAACGTACCACGTTTTCATCAAATTAATTCGTTTGTTGAAAACAGTCAAACAAATAAAAGGATCAGTCGGAATTTGACGCTCGGCCATCGGCCGCTTGACAAAAGGGGTCGACCACCCGTTTTTGCAGAACGTCCACAGTTTCCATTTATTTCTGCGTACGTTTCATTACCTCCGTTATGAATCATTCAATTACAGTCGTCCACGTGCGTGTAATTAAATATACTAATTGAGAGAATAAAAAGAGAAACGGTAGCATAACTCTGATTTTAGTTCGTATCGAAATTTCGAGTAAAAATCTCGGATTCGCAAAGGCGTAAGTGAACGACGCCATTGAAATGAAACATAGCAAGAGAACACGTTCTGTAAAAACATTTATGAACGTCGCTCGATCCATGATCGCTTCGACGTCTCGCCGAGATGAGGTCGACCTGCATGGCGCATTCCCGAGCTTCACGTTGTGTAGATTCATCTGTACACGTAGACGAGACGCGATCAACGTGCCGACTCGTTCTTTTTCCGCCCACAAAACATTTTTATGATACACTTATCGCTCGTTGAAACGGAACGGCAGGATAGAAAGGATCTCTTGAAACCACAAACTATTTCAAACTCTCAAGCGGGCAGTACATTAACGCGAGTCAGGTATGCGAAACGCGTAAACGGAATGTCAATGGTTATCGAGCATGCTCTGTATCGATGAAATAATAAATGCCGCGTTAATTCGAGCGTATATACGATGCTCAATGAAGCGCGATTGGTCGTCCGGTGGAAAATCGAGAGCGTCGGCACGTTGGGAAAAATGACACGACGTTGAGCATTTTGAATAGCTTCCGGGGGCCGAACCCAGGCGGAATCAGAAGGTGGAATCGTTGAAGACGAATAATGGAGTTTCATTCGGAGGAGATGAACGAACGGGATAAAACGAAATACGAGCATATCCCTGATGCTAAAATACTGTCTGATCCCGAGAATGATCGCTGCGAATGAGAATTCGAACCTATCTTCGGGGCTGTTCACCCTTCTGCGTTCCGTCCGCTTCCTCGCTTTTGTTAAATGAGAATTCGATCTCGCGTTCGCTGCACTTCGGGGCAACGGCTTCCTGTTCGCAGGAGGTCGAGCGAACCCGTCCTTGTTAGATGTTAATGCCCTGACGCGATGCCGTTCGATTAAATCGAGCCTGTAATTCAATCGTTTCTAACTCCGATTCGAGTCCTTTGCGAGATCAAATTCTATACGGACATATCTCGTTGCGTTTGTAGACGTACTTACGTCTCTGACGACACGAAAAATCGAAGTGCAGCGAGCATTGTACGGTTAAATCACTTGCACTCTGCACGAATGATGAAATCGATATAAAGAAGGGCAGTGGTAGAAGCTTCTAGCGTTTAGACACCAGCCGTCCCTTCTAGTTTAGCCGTGAGTGTTGTCTTGCGAACAGTTCAAGCGAGCACCGGGCAGGAAAGCGGCGGAACCGTGACGACCAGAAGTAACAGCGCGTCGGCCGATTCGCCGGCCCACGAATTCGTGTCCGATAGCATGAGGGTCTCGGACACGGACCTCGAGGAGGTCAGAGAAGGCATGAAAAAACTGGGGATGCAGCCGCCCAAAGGTTAGTTGATCGTTGGTCGTCGTTAACCCTTTTACTAACAACAAATCACACGGTGTATGTGAATTCGCATAAACGTCCGCAATCCAATAATCATAACAATAATCATGGGTATCTGAAAAAGATTTGCCCACAAGATATTGCGATGCTTCCCGATTCGTGTAATGTCCTCGATAAATGCCAACATTGAAAAGAACCGCACGTCGATTTAAAATTGTTCTGTACACGCACCGCTGCCACGTTAATGCTTGACGAGATACCCGCGCGTGTTCCGCGTTACGACCACCAACGAAAATTTTCCGAGCAACATATACAGTTCGTACGATACACGTTCGACGAAGAGGAACGTGCTCTTTTTGTTCGTTCGCCGGTGACCACGATGAATATTCATTCGTGAAAGTGTGAAATTCGTATCACGATTATGCTGCACATTTCCATTTGCGGAATTCGCTACACGATTTAAAATCAATCGCGGATTCGGGTTTATTAAAGAGAAGAAAGATACGTTTCTCTTGGATCGAGACAGAAATGGCAAAGACACAAAGTCTCCAGAAACACCGTCTCCCCCGTGAGTATAAACGTGATGATCGATCTGTCGTTCCACCAAGCGAGAGCCCGTCCACCAAGCGTTTAGATAGAGTTTAGGCTGACCACGTTACGTCACGTTTGTAGTCTGTGTGCTCGTTTTCCTTTTACGCGAGCAGCTTTATTTATCCACCGTTTCCTGTCTCAATGTGCTTTTCATGAATCCAGCGAGAATTACAACTGTACTGTAATTAAACCACCTATTATCCTTTTTGTAATGCGTGTAGTTGACGAAAGAGAGTTAGTCGTTTTCATGTTAGCAAAGTTCACCCTCCTCGTTGTGTATAGCTCGTCTCTCGTAACCGACGATTCTTGCCTGTGACTAAACGACCGCTTTTCCATTCTATTCTGTCAACAGCCTAAGAAGAGGAGAAAGTCCCCCGATAAAATGCATTATCCAAAAGAAAGCACACCCCTCAGAAATAAAAATACGACAAGCTTCTTTCCCCCTCTCGAAAACCGACGTTTTACTTTCGGTTCGGTTCAATTCTCGTCCACGAACTCCTCGACACATCCCACTCCTTTTCAGTGTTCATTTATATATTTTATTTAATCCTCCACCCTTGGTGCAAAACGTTTGAACGATTCGATTCTTAAAATTTACTTCGTTCCGTTGTTCGATCACTACTAATTCCCGTTCTCAAGCCCCAACTAACGACGCGATCTCGCGCCATATTGATCGGTAACTGGAACATTTTGTCGTTGCACCCGGCGGTTGCGGGGAACTCCTATTATTTTTCGGAAATAACGAGATGCGTTTAGGGAGAGAAGAACGTTAGCGATAAGACAGATAGGGAGGGAGTGAGGTAGGGGTGGTACGAATATATAAGATAGTAAAAAGAACGTACGATTAGGAGATTAAACGTCGGATTTGAAACGTGATAAGAGCAAACGCGTAAAACCGATGGTAGCGAGTAGTTTGACAGCACGCGTGCTGAGAGGGGAGAGCAAGAGAGAAAGAATGAGAGAGCGTGCGTGAGAGAGAGAGTGAACGTGTGCATAGATCGTAGGTAGAGGATGGGCGAACTGACGCTTTTTCCGACAGAACAGCGAAAAATAGAAGTCAGAAAAGGAAAGGCTATAAACAGAATCTTTTTGGTAAAAGATAAACGAGTGAACAGAATTACATATACGCATCCAACAAACAATGGTAAAAAAATTTTGACTAAATGTCTGTATGTCTGTCTGTTTGTCTGTTGTCTGTATGTCATCGTTCTTAATCAATAAATATTGTCTCTTGTCGATTCTCTCCGTGTTGTAAAACGTTAAACATTAAACAGGTAACAGTGGGACGGTAAATGATTTCAAAGACGAACGATGGATATCGGTGATGAAGGGGGAAGGACGACGCGAAATTCTGATTCTCGGGGGGGCCGGCGAGCTCTCTCGCGAATTAACGCGCGATCAGAACGATCCGCCGGCCGAGAAGAGTAAATAGCCGGATGAAAGGAAACGCGGCCTGCTTGATTGCAGTCAATTTCTTTCTTTGAATAAAACGCGGAGATGAAAACGGAGGATGGGGAGTAGAATTAGAGCGGTGAGAAAATTAAGAAAGAGAATTTACTAAATGTTACCATAAATGAATTAAGACAAAATAACAAAAAGATTAAAGTATAAAATTCGTTGAATGACAATACGTGTTTTAAAAGAAATAAAGCTAAATAAATAAAATCGGGGATCGAGGTGTAACTTTCGTCTCGTCTCTCGTGGGTGTAGTCCTCATAGTGGTTTTACTTCCGATTCAATTAAACTAACGTAAACGAGAAAAGACCGACCGGGGACGATCCGTTTTAATACGCCCGTCCACTCGAACGAATTTGAATTCTTTTCTGAAACCTGCCACGTGACAGATAGAACACCGGGAGAATAAAATGATGGAAAAACGAATGCAAGGGAAACGATGGATTTTGCTCGAATCAGTTTAGAACATCGCGCGTGGCGTAATAAAAAGTATTTAAATAACGTATGAAGGAGGAATTAGGGATGGAAGAGGATTATGGATATGAAACAGTGGAAATGCGGAAATAAATTAATTTTAAACACGCGGAGGAGATCTGCGCGTGCACCGGTGCACCTGGTTTCGAGTGAATACCGTAAAAATAATGAAAACTGTTATGGAAACAAATCAACGGAAAGAGAAAGTTGTAGCAATACGAATACAAGGCTTGGTATTTCGCCGTTCGCGGGTGTTACTGTTGAACATCGACAACACTTGATGTGGTAAAATACCGATAACCGGAAATGATTCTTTTTAGGAGCGTTGCCGATCACCGTGATTCTCACAGTGATTCATAAATGCTACTGATTTTCTTAGAATCTGGTACTTGCGCGTCTCACATAGGCCGTGCACGTTTAAGTTAGGTAAATTCAAATTAAATAATTTCATCTTTCAAAATAAATGAGTAATTTTCTTAAGTATAATGTCACTGTGAAAAATCACGGTCAGTGATTTCGAACACCAGCTCTAATATCCGAGTCGTAACACGCGTGCATGGTCGGTGTGACAGAGGGAGAATTGAGAGAACAGTCGAGGACGGTTATTGAGCTGACAAAAACTTGATCGACACGCGAGTATCAGTCATTAGGAAGAACGAAAGAACGTTAATTGACAAAAGGCGCAGTCAGTCAGTAAGGTGGAACTTTTGAACAGATGATTCGCTAAGGTCTCACAGTTTTCGTAACACGTTTAATGTGATACCTGATCGAGTTTCGGATCAGAGACGTAATTACTTAAATCGCGTTAAGGGAACGGAGTCTCCGATCGATTCAGTGGCAAACGGAAACGTTCGCAAGTAGAATACGCGATTCCACGCGAGACGTTTGAGTCACATATTCGCGTGAATGGTAAAACGTTCGCGGGTCCATCGAATCTTCCGGGTATTATTAACTGGCGCAGATTGAAGAGGGGAAGAGCTCCACCCTTTTTTTGATTTCGCTTCTCTCTTTCCCTCTCCTTGTGTGGTTTGAATTTTTGCCATCCCTTTCCTCGGCCCTTGCGCTTCCTGACTAACACTAACACAGAGACGCGATAAAATTCCGATTCGCGTACACACCTTCCACGTACACGTAGGACAGACACAGACACAGCGCGTAAAGAGCGGCGCATCGCGAGATCGATGCGAAGGAAACAGGGACGAGGGCGTACGCTGAGAAACAACCCGCACTCTCGATTGTCACGCGGAAAATCGTAAATGTAACGCGGCCCGCTCGTGCACGTACAGACACCCGGGAAATAAAGGAACCGGCACACGAACACACACGAACGCGTCATTATACACATCGGAACGCGCGCCGAAAAACAGGCAGAGGCCGTCGCGTGGCCCCGCTTGAAACTCGCTACAACGCTGCTTGTGAATCTCTCCAGCTGAAGAAGATTGGGAACGCGAATTGGAAGCGGAGCTGAAGGATTACGAGGTAGTGACAGGAAACGAGGAGAGGAACGCGACTACGGGCAGCGACGCGTTGGATAAAGACGATTGGGAGAAGCAGATTGACGACTTGCTGGAGAACGACGAGGACCTCAAGTGAACGGAACGGTGACAGGGATCGTCTTTCTGAATAGGGACGATCTCTGTGTCTTTCTTCCATCGACCTTCCTCCAGTCGTCTCGGTCAGAAGGGAAAGGATCGCTCTTTCCCTTCCGTCGAGACGCGAAGGGTGGAAGATTTTTTTTTTCGTGGAGGCCATGGAAGAAGGGAGAAACGCGAGAGAGAGAGAGAGAGAGAGAGAATGAGACTACGACTGTTTGTTTTACTTTTATTTTTGATAAGGCGACGAAAGGACGGGGAAGTCGAAAGAGGGAAGATCGGAGGAATAATTTTCCTTGTTTCCTCTTCCGTGGGTTGCTTTTCTGGACAGCACGTACGGTTGCGATCCTCGAGCACGATGAAGATGAGAAAAGTGACGCTGGAGCTATGACCATGTAAATGAACGACGTCGCTACTCGATCTTGCTTCTCCGTCGATATTCCATCCATCGATGATACACGGATCTTCCGGATACGGTGCGAAATACCCGTTGTTACACCTGTGCACAGACGATACTTTTAACGCCATACTTATGTCAATTGTTAGTCGACTCGTCTTTGATTCGCAAGGACGAAGTATCTATGTAAGATTCATTGAGGACAGAAGTGAAAATTCCAAGTAATTCTCTCGTTTGTATTATCGATCCTCTTGAATACATATTTAACGAACAAAACAACTAAAAATAGACGAAGCTGCATCGAGCCTGTTACGTAACTTTGCCCGAAGTGCACTATGTAGTATATCGCGAGAGGAAAAATGAAATTGGTCGTCTCTTCATCGGGTTCGAAGGATCAAGGTATATCCGAAGTGACACATTACACTGCCGTGTGTGCCGAAGGACACCGTTTCGAACGAGTATCGTCGAGTATCGTTCCCTAACGAGAATAAGAAAAGAGACGAGCGTCACGCCTTTTCATCTTCAATCGTGAATCGTTGCACGCCAAAGATGAATCGTGACTGGAGGAAGAAGAGATTAGGAAAGATTCTTGCAGATTAACATTTCTGTTATTATAATTATTAGACGCATTTGTTGATGTTGCATCCCGAGGGATATCTGCGTTATCCTTTGCGTTGAATCTCGCCCATTCATTGTACGTTTGCAGTTACCGGATATTCTTGAACATCGATCGGAGTGTCCACGTCAGGAGCAAGTTATCTTTTAAAGTTAATTAAAATCGTTGATAAGAAACAACTTTCAACGTGCCGTCCATTGATTTCCTCGACCCCGAGTAACCGAGGCGAAACAAAAAACGGATAAAAAGGGATGATGTTCTTGCATCTTCGGTTGAAACGGGCTTCTATCACGTGGACATTACAATCGATCAGAAAATAATAGAACGTTTGTTTGTTGATCGTTACGTTTGAGCGAACAATGAATTTACGAGGAGGAGGAGGACCGATAAGAAAGTCTCGTAAGACTTAAAAGAGAGATAAATTATGATCGTTGTATTGACGATCGAGAAAAAGGTCGAGCGTCGCATTCGAATAAAATTTCATATCCAATTGAGACGTACGTTTCGCGTGCGCCACTGTATCGTTGAGTCCAGGCCACTTGTTTGATCCTTATTAGACCTAAAAGATTTCTTTGATCGAATAGATTCTAGGCTCGACCGCGTGCACGTATTTCAACCGTTTCGCCTGTAAAGCGGTCTCATTCGCACTACTCGTTAGATCGGTAATACGGTACGTGTACGCATATTTAATGTTAAGACGTCGCAATTACTCGGGCCTAAAGTTTGTCGAGAAGCGTTAATGAAAGACGGAAACGCGCGCCGTACATTTATCACGTAGAGAGAAGACGAGATACTCATTCGAACGCGTGCAGAAACGTTGAACGTCTTTCGTTGACCAGCTGTATAATATTGTATTCTGTGATTCCGTTCAAAAGGCGATCCTCGTGTTATCTATATTTAGTCGAAGTTTCGTGTGTCCTCTTTGCCCCCGACTGTGAAATGTGAGGAAACGTAAAATACATTTTCGCGACGAGTCCTTCATCTTTTTGGATGGCCAGATCGGTGGATCGGGAAAGTAATATTGAATTATCGTATAATAATAATGTATAATATCGATGAACGTACGTCTTTCCCTTCAATGGCCAAAACAACAAACGAGCATAAAACGATTAAGTAAACAAAATTATACATAGAGAATGCGAAGGAAAAAAACAAAGAACAAATAAATCATCATGGTGTACTTCGGCAGTCCCCCTATTTTAAGAACGACTCTGTGAATTGTGTAATTAAAAAAAAAGCTATCCTATGGTACAGTGGATTCACTCATACGGATGAACACACCACCCGATACGTATATATAAAACGATATACATAAATATACACATGAGAATAAATAAAAAATATATATATATGTTGTTGACTCCATTGAAAGTATGATAATATATTATGAATATTAATGAGAGTATAAGGAGGACAAGCATTAATTACGGAACTATTAAGAGAATAATTAATATAAGTGCGGAATGTAACAATAAAGGTCGTGTACCTCGTGAGAAATAAACTGAAAATAAGTCGATTAACGCCGTCTGATGCTTACCCGTCAGTCCGATCCTGTCGATGTTCAATACTCGTATAGATCAGAGGGTTTAAGTAAAATAAAAAACCACCAGTAATTAAAAAAATATATATTTCGTAATAGCTAAGTGTACATTATTTTAATTGAACAATTCTACATTGTCCTAATACTGTACTTATATTACATGTAAGTGTACTGTACATAAATAATTTCAGTCCGGAGATATACATGGATTTCGTGCTTCCTAAGATAACATTTTATAAAAAAAAGTATCACAGATAGATCACAGAAAGCATATATCTCGCACCGGTTAAATAATTTCTTACCTATCTCTCTACTATTTACATTATTGTCTTTACTATTATTCGTTTCCATTAACATTGTAGACATCTGATAAAAAGACGGAAATAGTGAAACAGTACACATCGCCTGGAATTATACCGAGATGTTTAGAATTTGTATTTACAAAACGTTACACCGAACTTCAGCTCTTCTTACAGACCCATCAATCACTGCGACGTTTGCACGTTAGATCCCTTAAAACGTGCCCAGGAATTGGAAATGAAAAACAAATTGTTAACATTTGCATCGATGGACAAATATCAACATATAAATGCTTACAAAGAAATGCATATAATTATATCTGTACTGTTTTACTATTTACGTCTACTTCTCAAATTCCGGCTCGCCGACGGTGTCTGATCAATGGTGACCGTCTGTAAAAACGAGAATATTGAAAAATAACAGAAACTACAGACGGTTCACTCAAAAATACTCACCTCGATCGGTTCGAGATCTTGAAAAGATTCTTCAGCCGTATACAATTTCTTTCTACGGCTACTTTTCTTCTTTTCCGAAGTGTCTGGTGGTGGTAAATTAGTGCGTTTGACACTTCGCCTGAAACAATAATCGAAATTAGATTCTCGGATGTGATACAGGTAGTAGATCATACGCATGTCTCATGTGTAACATACTTCGAATCTGAATCCGAGAGATCGATAACCTCGTGTTGTTTCGGTGAAGAAGGTGTAAATCTTTTCGGAGGCCGTCTCATCCGACGTTCCTTATGGCCTGCCTCTTCCTCAGAGTTTTCGCCGTAGTCTCTGTCCTTCGAGGATTTCGTTAACTGCGAGGAAGCAATCGTTAAACAAGGCTGGAAACTAAATACTTAATCAAAAGATACAATGGACATACTTCGACCTTCTGCTTTTCCAACTTTTCCTGTTGGTCTTTCACCAAACTCTCGTACTTGGATACCATTTCGTCTCTGTTCTTCAAGAACGCCTCCATCTCACGCTCTTTCTCGATTAAGCTGCTCTTTAACTCTTCGTTCACAGCTCTCAATCTGTCGACTTCGGTTTGTCTTTCCTGAGCACCCTGTTGAAGCAGATCGAATATTTTGTCCTTCTGTTCCCTACGCTCTTCTAACTGCTTGATATATGCTTCTTTCTCTGACAGCATATCTCTCGTTTCTGCCAGATCTTTAATTGCTTTTTTCAACCCCTGTTCCATTAATTTGTCGCTTTGGTCGTCAGTCCCGTTTCTTTGTATCAAATTCTTCATTTCTACGATTAATCACGTACAAATAACATATCGAACACGCAAAATAAATTATTATACAGTTCGACTCACCGTTCTGAAGGAACTTTATCTCCCAATCTTTCTCCTGCTCTTTTTTGACTGCGCGATCCAGATGATCTTCTAAATCTAAAAGTCTCTCGTTGTTATCGTCCAAAGAAATCTGTAACTCCTTCTTCTCAACTTCGCAGGCTTCTAATTGCTTATTGAGTTCATTAATCTTCTCTTCTAACTCTGTTATCTTCTCGAGATTACGTTGCGATTCCGTGACATGCTCGTCCAAACACTAAAAGTGCAAGATGCATATATTAGTTACTTGGATCTACTTGAAACACCTGCGTCACTAAAAGAGCAAATGTACCTTTGAGATTTGAGTATCGAGCTCTGCTTGTACGGTTTTCAATTTCTGAAAAGAAGGTGGTTTCTAAATATCGTCACATATAGAATTAGTACAAAACATAGCGAGAAATAACCTACTTCCGTGCATTGATCGTGATCATTCTTAATGACCGAGAGTTGTTGTTCCGTCTCCTCAAGTTTCTGTTCGTACTCACTGATCTTAGTTTCCAAAGAAACTTTTGCGGAATCAGTATTCCTTAATTGTGCCTGTACTTGTTCAGATATATCACTCAATTTAACTTTAGTTGATTCCAGTTCTTTTTTTACGCTCTGCACTTCGGTTGTACTCCAAACTAACTTTTCTTTCAACGTTTCATTCTCTTCCTTTAGCGCGATCATTTCCTCATTTACTCGATCTTCTTCTTTTTCGAGTTCCGTTTGTGTATCTTTATCCTCGGTCGAGGTCTCGTTTATTTTTACTTCACAACTGGAAAGTTGTTCTTCTTTTATTGACGTATCTGCATTGACCTCTGAAGGGACATCGGCACCATGAGCATCAGTGACATCAGGAGCATTAACGGTTTCTTTAAGCAACTTAATTTCATCCAGTAATAATAACTTTTCATTTTGCAATATAGTTATTTTATTTTCCATATCATGCAATTTACTTTCTTGGTCGATCAACTGCTGAGTCTGAGTTTCCAGTTTCTCTTCCAGCTGATCAGCGATTTTACTTTTTTCTGTTAGATATTCATTAAGATCATCGACCTCTTCCTCTAAACTATTTATATTGTCTTCTTGTTCCAGTAGCTCTTCTTTCTGCTTCTTAATTATGTATTCCTTTTCAGACACGTCTGTAGTAATGGCAATATAATCGTCTTTTGCCTCGTTCAAAAAGGTTTTCAGTTTCTTAATTTGTTCCTGCTTCTCGAACAATTGGGTCTTTAATCCTTCTACATAATGTGTCACGTCATCATCGGAACATATGTCTTGCTGAGCTGCATTCAAGAGGGCCTTAACATTTTTCAGTTCTTCCTTCGTCAAACTAAGCTCGAAAGTAACTTTATTTCTTTCAACCATCAGGTTCTGGTTCGTTTCTCTGAGTTCAGTCAACCTGCCTGTCAGGACTGTCATTCGAGACTTCAATTGAGAGTTCTCCATCTCCATTTCTTGGAGTTGCTCAGAGGTACTGTTCGCACCCTCAGAAATAGAAGAACATCTTCTCTTACGGTTAAAGCTGACTTGATCTAATTTCTGTTTATAAAAATCTTCGACCTGTTTTATAGACAACTGAAACATATCCTCCTGTTGTTCTTCTACATGCTTTATTCGTTCCTTGAATTGAGTCTCGATCGAAGTCATAATAGCCGTATAAGAATCAGCTATCTCCTGTCGTATTTCGAGATCGCGCATTAACGCAGAACTCTTCAAAGAGGCGACTTCTTTTCTCAATCTCTCGTTCTCGTTGAGCAGCTCCTCGTAATTCTCGCTACAAATATAATCAGTTATGTCTTTCTCTTGATGTTCTTCCAAGTCTGTAGCGTCCCAATCAGTTATCGTTTTTATGCTCTGCGTAACTATCTGTGAAAACGTTGATCTCTTCTTCCTACGCGATTTCTCTTTTTCTATAACTATGTTCTTTGCGATAGCAGAGAAATTGAGGACGTTTTGCGTCTCCACGTATAAGTTTGGCAACGGGTTGATGTTCACTATCAGAACTATCGGCTCTTTGCCGGACAATGCCCTTTGAAACAGTCTCGTCAATTTCGATTCTCTAAACGGACCGATATGTTCTAATTTCTGTTTCGACAACTGACCCTCGTGAATCATTTTTAAACACCTTCCCAATACTAATAAACTTGAATTAATGTTCTGCGCCTCTTTCAATCGGTCCCCGATGTTCAACGTCTTCTTAAGCCGTTCTGATCCAGCCAGATCGCAAAATGTGAACGTGCTAACTTCCACCGAGCCAGGATCGTTCTCACCGTAATACTTCAACAATTTTATGCTAAATATGCAGTGGGATCTCGAGCTCCTTGCGTTCAGTGCAGTTGCGGCCACTTTTAAATTATATTGGCCAGCCATTAAAATCTGGTAGGCCTCCGAGCCAGAATTCACGCAAACAGTCTTCAAACCTTTGATAAACGTTCTTCCATGATTGTCCGTTGCCAGTTTAAGCGGTGTTCTTTTCTTCTGGCATTCGTTGGACAAAAGATCATATACTATTTCATTGTAAATTTCAGCGAACGAGACCCAGACTGAATAATGCGCGTCGACGCATTCGCTAGGCCTGATGGGCGACTCATTTTGCAACAAAGTTTGCATTTCTTTGTAAGCACTTATATGTTGATATTTATCCACCGATGCAAACGTTAATAATTTGTTTTTCATTTCCAATTCTTGGGCACGTTCTAAGGGATCTAACATGGAAACGTCGCAGTGATTGATGGGTCTATAAGAAGGGCTGGACTTCGGTGTAACGTTCGTAAATACAAATTCTAAACATCTGGGTATAATTCCAGGCGACGTGGTGGTCCCTTGCAAAGTGTAAGATTTGCCCGAATTCGTCGTTCCATAAGTCATTATAGTACAATTTTGTCCGCTTAAAAAGTCTAATACTTTCGGCTTCACAGCTTGCTCGAACAATTCTAGCTGCGTGGTCTCTGGCCCGAAGGTTTGCGTGAACATGAACTTTCGGCATATAATATTAGAGTGATTCGACTTCTTTATGCAGCTTGTGTTATTATCTAAGCTAGGCAGTCTGGTCAACAAAGTATTTGAGTCGGTGATCGTATATGCATCGAGTTCATCTTGTTTCAATTTAAGTTTCTTTGGAAAAGGTTTCATTCTTAAATAAACCTTAACAGTCTCTTGTTGGATCGAGGACGAACCTCCCTCCGAATATTCACTCTCCTCTTCTTCGTAGACGGAGAGTAAATTTTTCTTAGTCTCCTTCGAGATACAAGGCCTCTGTCCATAAGCCAGTATACTCGGATCTCTCCCAAATAAGTAGGATACTTCATTTTCTGGATTTTCCTCGAACGTCGATGGTCTGATCGAATCCAAAGTATTGTCCATCTGCAATGTACAATGTTACAAATTCCTTTTAATTATTTCGACAATATCTGCATTTTCGATGATGTTTCACTCTTGGGAAGATCGAGTTTGAAAATCCGTTACATTCAAATTCAATCGACCGCCAGATGCCGGGTGCCAGGTCAGTGTCTACCCGGTGTCTATCGAAAACGACATGTTTATGTTTCACACGTAGATATTGTGTATCGTCGCTGTAGTTACTCGTGCATTAGGGTCGCGAAGAATCGCTATCTTTAGCATTGACAACGTTAATAAATATAGCATAAAATTTAATCTTTATTTGTATTTCGTATGTAATAATCGTGTGCCAATACAAAAATCAGGAACATATATAAAAAGACGGTGTTCGCACGTATGGCAAAATCGTATCTCTTCAGTTTCAGTGTAACGGATTTTCTCGAAAACGAGACCCCAAGCGAAAAACTGTTATTCTATCTCTCTTTCTTATTTTTCTATAAAGGATCATCGTGTACTCGGTTGTAATATGATATTCGACCGGTGCCTATATAAGGACTAAAAGAAACGAACCGACTTGTACTGCACGTAGTTCCTACACGTGTTTCTGCCTCGAATAGACAAACTTGACTTTGTTTCCGCAAGATAACAATCGAGAAGACTGAGTTGAAAATTTCCAGAGAACTGAAATGTGACAGAAATATTGTGTAGTGCAAAGCGTTTGCACAACGGAAAGCGCGATTCAAATCTTACCTCCTTAAACAGACGATTATAAATCCTTAACACGTACCTTTTAACTCTTTGATGATAATTTGTAAAAGCTGATAAATAAATGATTATTTTTAATCGATTTTGGAACGGAATACCCAGGTGAAACTCGAAATTCAGTCATTCACACTAACGGTCGGTTTAGCACGCACGAATACGAAACAGCACGCTCAGTTGTTCAGTTCAACTTGCTCGAGCTAGTTCGGCTCAACGGTTGACGAAAAAGAAGGGGTACTGGTTTGAAGGACGGCTCGACCGGATTGGCAGAACTTCCACTAGGCGAGAAGGAAAGATATTACTGCACTCGTCACGTGGCCAATCAAAATCAAATTGTAGTTTTAACAGACAAAAGAATAAAAACACGATTTCCGGTTTATTAATTCGCGCGCTTTCCACTCTGTGTCTTGTGTAGAAATTAGATTCACTTCTAGCATCGATAACAGAGGTAATTATAAAAAGGTAACAAGAATATTATTAAAATAAATCTTTATTACATTCATTTATGCCAGTATATACAGATCTTAAGTTAAACGCATATGTACAATGTAGCAGTTAGCATTCTCTCTTTTCTGTTACATTTACATACGATTAGAATCCATTATAATTTGCGGGATAAAAAATATTCCTCTTGGACATTCAAAAAGAAAGAGTCCAAAGTGATTAAAAATTAGTCGAACGAACGATGACAGGAAGAAATTCGATTATATAACATATGTATGACTTATAAAATATTAGAAAACGACGTAATCGTTTACGGAAAAATAATTGATATTGCGGTAAACGCGCCTAACGTTTTATCGGTATAGGAATACTAACGCGAGCTTCGTAAGTCTTTCGCACCTATTAAACGGTTCACGCACCATTATTGACTCTTTGTATTGTGTCGCATGTCCAAAAAGATCCATGAAAGAGTGCCCACTCTTGAGTATTCGAATGCGAAAATTAAAGTAAAAAATATGAGTTATCTTCTGCAAAGAACATCGACACAATTATTCCCCTACGTTTTTCTTCATTATTGTTCATTAACAAAGAGAGCAATTTTTCGAAATATATTTTCAATCTAACTTCGTCGACGCATCGAGACGATCCTCGATTGTTCGTGAGTAGAAATAACATTTAACAAGTCTTGATGCAATACTTGTAATGTCAGGATTCGTGATTCAAAATCCCCTTCAAATCGTCCGGCAACGTATGCGTGATGTCATTTATCCTTTCTTGAAGTTTCTCCCTTACCGAGTTGCCTATGGGTACCTCTTCGATGTAAGTCTTTTCTAATTTCTGCCGAATTCTGAGAATCATGTCCACCAATTCCACCTCCTGCCTACCTTGTACCCACGTCTTTAAATCCTGTGACAATGATAATTTCTTTGAGAAACAGAATCATTGAAAATTCGTGTCAAACGTACCGCTTGCGACAGCGCCTCGAGTTGTATAGCTTCCAGCTTCTGCGACAGTTCCGTGTACCTGGTGTGAAACCAACCGGAAAAGTTAGGCGAACGAAAAAATCGTCGGTACAATCCGACCCAATCTCCTTTTATACCAGTCGTCAATTGCGGCCCAGAGCTACTCAAGGTAGCTAGGAAGTCGTCGGGATTGAATAATTCAGGTATAGGTGTAGCCTAAAGTAAAATCATACACGTGTACAATGGGGTATCGATTCTTTGAAATATAAAATACGAGATAAGTACTTTAAAGGGTGATATGTCCTTCTGCAGTGGCATCAAGCTTGCAATATATCTTTCAAGGGGTATCATAAAGCTCTCGGTCAGTTCTATTAAGTGACGTTTCAAAAGAGCCGTTTGTACTGCCCCTGGTCTCTTCGTCTGTATACCTTTAAACAACTTTTTCAATATAGTTTTATCTTTCTGCAGGAAGGGTTTATACTGCGTGTAAACCCCTGGTTTTGAGTCCAACACTTTCAGATTCTCCGACTTCTTGATTTTATATTTTTGATTCTCTGAAATATGAGAGACGCGCTACGCTACTATTACTTTCCTGCAGGCGTCGCTTAAAAATAACTTACCACTGTTACTCCCGTTGCTAGTTCTTATAATATGAGGCCAGTGTTGTAAAGTCTTGGCGAAAAACGGATTAGTCACGCCTAATATTACAGCAGGAGGCGACGGAGCATCCGTGGTATATTCTTTAAATTCCGAATCATGGATCGTGAAGTAAGGTCGATGGTCCGCGCAATACTTCAACGGTGCTATCATCCTAAAAACGACAGATTTTTCTATTTCTCTTATACTCACTTTCCGTTTGAAATTATTCGCGGTGAAATACTCACGCGATAAGTGCTTGGACCATTTCAGAGCAACAGGTGGGTGAACCAGCCATAACAACGATCGGTTCGCTAAGTAGTACTAGTTCCCATAGTAAATGCACGTAACTTACGACGCTGGCCAGACTTCGGAACATATCTCCTTCGTAGACAGATGTTAAAATTAATCTTCGCGTCGCGTGAAAATTTGGCGCGTGATCCATGGCAGCAATCGTGGGTACAGTTGCTTTATAGTTTTGATTTGGGATGTACGTCTGCAAGTATAAAGAGCATACGAAATAATGTACAATAAAAGGACAGCAAAGCTTGCTTACCTGAAATAGAACACCTATGACTGGTAGATGTACTACTTGGCCAGGTACCGGGAGAGGCCATTGGTCAATCTCTCTAATAACAGCCTCCATCAGCGCGTTGCCCACTTCAAAAAATTCTGGTGCTATCAACGCACTCAGTTCACCGAAGAGATTCACAAATGGTAGTTTCGTAATTATAACAATACTCTAAATAAGAAAAGTAATCATTATTCCTCCTTTAATTTTATAGTCTCGCGTTTACTCCACTGTTACGTGTGAGATCGGACCTTCTGGAAATATCCCCTTGGAAGAGATTTATCTTTCACCTGACGAAAGTACACGTAGCCCCAGTAATAATCCTTATCACATTGCAAAAACGGAGCCGATCTTCGGTCGTACTCTTTTAAAGCTTTAGTCTCTTGAACCGTCGTTCCGTTCTGTCTTATTCTGACGTGATACTGCGTGTCTCCCATACAACCAGAGTTAGAATCAGGAAAAGCAAGATAACAAACATTAGATCTCTCTTGTTCAGATAACTTGATATGAGATGGATATATGGCCTGTGGAAAAACGAACATCTTTTTCTTTTGCTCTTAAAGGATTATTCATAAAAAGATGACACAATACCTCAATGGCTTGACCTAATTCAAGATCAAACGTAACAATGCATATACAATGTACCCAGTTGTGGAAACGTTCCCATTTTTCATATACCGTCTCTCCATTACTTTTTACAGTGTCCATTCTTTTACTCTTCGAACAGGAAGGAACTGACATTTTACATGAATTCAGTTTCCCTGCATACACGTGTTAAAGGACATGTCACTTTGTTACTTAGTGACAGTTTCAGGGAGCTTGGCTCATTATTATAAATGAACATTATAACAATTTCCATAAAGGGATTTGGATATCTGAAAAATGATTAAAAAAGTATTAACCCACATAATGCGTCAGAATATAATAGATTTATTGATGAGAACTTACAGGTTTGATTGAACTACTCATTTCACAATATTGCTTAAAGCTTCTCTTTTTTCATCTTAATAATCTGATAGGATATATATACACGTATATCTTTACCCTGTTATTAATGATATTTAAAGAATATGCGATCCACTTGTTCACTTTTACACTGTTTGGTATCATAGATAACAGGGAACAGTGTCGGGGGGAAAATATTAATTTGAAGAATCAAAAAACTCAAGTATCAAAAACACGGGGGACGTAACGTATGTTTCATTATTACTTTCTCTATTTACATACAACTGTTAAAATGCCCACGTGTTTTCTATTTCGCGATAGTAACAATCTGGCAAACATGTTATTAGTTGGATTTCTGAGGTAACGGTACTCGGAATTGAATTTTCTTCGTCGGTAACGTTCGCGGTAGTACTTCTTTTCACTGACAGTACGTATTCAACGTCCGTTATCGCTCTGTTCAAGAAAGTCTTCATAATGCCTGGTGTTTGTAGCAGCAGTTATAACCTTCAACACCAAACATGTAGCTATTCCGAAGATGCTCGACTTATCTGAACAGTTCGCTCTCCTCAGATCAAAGCTAGATTTTAGATCTCAGTTCAGCGTTAGATTTATTTTTACCGATTACAATCAGCAAAATTTTGCCTCGCACTTCTGTCACGAGAAAATTTCTCTATATACATATGTATCTTTAATTCTTTGTATATATGTATAGTATGCGATTCATGGACCTGAAGAACGGTGCATAGTATTGGGTCTGGGCAGCAAGCAGAGGAACTGTGGGTGGTGGGTGTATGAGGCGCATGTGCACGCTAGGTCCGCGAAGAACTGACATAAGCTGCGGCAGATGGTTGGCTGGATACATGGCAGAGTCTTCTGTTATATATATCAATGGTATGTACATACATACGTATGTTATGTACTCCACTAACTGACTAACTGCACATCTTTCATATCACTTTCTTACATGGATTTTGTGCTACCGAAGCATTATCTATTTTGATTGCCTTCGATTCTCACCGCATTTCCATCACAAGTTATAAAATCCAACATAACCGTTATTTGCAATAAACGATACACTTTTTACTATAATAGTTCCATTTTTACAATATGTTCTTAGTCGATATGAGATTCACGTAGAACCGTCAATGTCATTTGTTTGTATCGTACTGACAACAAGGATACACGTTTGTTGCCTCGTTCGTATTTCCTATTTCTCGTAGTGTCAGCTATCATGCATATGATGCATCAAACAGTTGTGTATTAGACTTCGTCTTGTTTTCGCATAGTTATTTGATCAAGTATAGAATGATTAAGCTTGTTTACAGGTATGCTTACTCTGTGTCAAACAGAAACAGAAATTAGGTGTTACAATGTGTTTAGTTATCAATACAGAAGTATTGTTAACAAATTTTGTTTTAGGACTTTAGTTCCTTTTTAGAATGAGGAACTTGTATCGTCTTTTCGACTATCTTAAAAAGATAGCCAGTGCTAGTTAACGTAAAATTGATATTAACTATGGAGAACCAAAGCCACCAGAATCAGGCTTATCAAGCTTGTCAGTCGTTTTGGAAAAAGAACAGCCGTGCTGTGCCAGGCAGGTGTGTAATTGGTAATCGTTAAGACAAGATAATAAATTTTTCACAGTAGTTAAAACGAAGAATAATAATCGTTTGTACTTTACATTGGATATGGATACTGATAGACCAAGCCCGAAGCAGGACGGTAAACTGGGTAGGATAGGTGGTACTCTAAGTTCGACCAGTACAGTAGCATCTACCGGTAGTGGAATTGTGTCTGGCGGAGGATCTACGTCATTCCAAGATTTTCAAGAGAGCGTAGATGATGCTTGGGATTCCGGTGACGATGAGTTCTGTACCGTGTCCGACGTAAAAATATCGAAACGAGTCAGCCATTCGGCTGCTATTAGCGTTATTAATAGTCACAGATCGAGGAAGACATGCGGTGGCATAGACTCCATGACAGATGGTGGAACGAATGCAAAATCTTCGCAATGCGTTCAAGAAATAATACCCGAAGAGAAACGGGCAGAGGCTCTGCAAAGATTAGCCGTTCAACCGCTACATCTGCGTAATGCCAATTTATCCATGCACACGCAGACCAATAATAGTCAACATAGTAGTAGTTCCATGGAGGAAACTGATATGATGTTTGGCAAATACGGTGCTTCCCCGCAACATACGAAGCTGGCGCAGTTCCCAGGAAGACCGCAACCCATGAGACAAACGAACGCATCGAGAAAATTTTTTATACCTTCCAAGGAGCAAGGTGAATGAAAGCCGAAAAATAACAATAATTCTTGATACTGTTATACTCGTGTGCAACCAGAGCATTATCGACTCTTGTTCATACTTGTAGATGGCGAGAGCAAAGTAGATAAATTCCAATCCCTTTTGGAAGCTTCCGTATTAAACTTGGATGAGTTAAGGCAGCTATCATGGTCGGGTGTACCCGCAAGACTACGTTCCGTTACATGGAGGTTATTGTCTGTAAGTAACGAAGCTATGCGAAACATTTATCTCGATACAAACGCGGTAAGAAATATTTGACTCGAACTATCGTAATTATTTCTCTTCTATTTCTGTTTCCCATGATTCAGGAATATTTACCGGCGAATCTAGAGCGAAGGCAGCACGTGTTAGAGCGTAAACGATTAGATTATTGGAATTTAGTGAAACAGTATTACGATACTGAAAGAGACGAAGGTTTCCAAGATACATATCGTCAGATACACATTGATATTCCGAGAATGTCGCCGCTTATATCGTTGTTTCAGCAAACAGTCGTTCAATTGATTTTCGAGAGAATACTTTATATTTGGGCGATTCGGCATCCTGCGTCTGGATACGTTCAAGTACGTTCGTGTCTTTACGACTCGTCGAATAACTCGTCTTCCTTATCCTTATTATACATTTTATGTTTCTCACCGGTCATTTCATTTCTCATTAGGGGATGAACGATCTCGTGACACCGTTTTTTTTGGTGTTTTTACAAGAAGCTGTGCCTATGTCAGCGTGGCAAGACTTGGAAAATTACGATGTTGCCTCATTAGAAAAGGAACAGCGGAGTATAATAGAGGCGGATAGTTTTTGGTGCTTGTCTAAGTTTCTCGACGGTATTCAGGACAATTATATTTTTGCTCAATTAGGCATCCAGCATAAAGTAAATCAATTGAAAGAACTTATACAAAGAATCGATGGTACATAAATCAATCGTTCGAAACGTTTCCTCATTTCCTTCTGCGTTTTTTGATTTACTTATTACATCGTATTTATCTTCGATTGTATACGTAACGTGCCATTCGTTTCAGCGCCTTTACACCAACATTTACATCAACATGGAGTAGATTATTTACAGTTTTCCTTCCGATGGATGAACAATTTATTGACAAGGGAGATCCCGCTTCATTGCACGATTCGTTTGTGGGATACTTATCTGGCAGAATCTGATCGATTTGCCTCGTTTCAGCTTTACGTATGCGCCGCGTTCCTCCTCCGTTGGCGACGTCATCTTCTATTACAGCCTGACTTTCAAGTAAGTATTTCAGCAATAAGTCGTCCCACGCGAAATCGACTCAATTATCTAATAAAACCCGCTTGTCGTATAGGGTCTGATGTTGATGCTCCAGAACCTGCCTACTCAAAACTGGACGGACGCTGAAATAGGGATACTAGTTGCCGAGGCATACAAACTAAAATTCACGTTCGCGGACGCCCCCAATCATCTCCAGGCTCACGATACCAGATGACCATTTCCCAATGCGTTTAGGTAACGATATTGTAAATTGTGAATCGTGCAGCCAAGAACATTCCGTCGTCCCAAACCTGAAACAATTCTGTGCTTGGACGACGCAGGTACGTCTGCGTTTCTTGATGCTCGTCAGATGATCGTCAACTGGGTTCTACGTTCGTACGTAGAACTTGGTGGTTCGGCGGGTTCAATTTCAGTTACCTATCTTAGCCGATTTTATTTCATTGGTTTATTCCTCGCGCGGTAACAGCAGTAATAATTGAAACATGGAAACTTTTTTCGATTACCCGTGATCAGAAATCGTGCTCTTTTTTATTATTCGTACATTCGTTCTCAACATACGCAGTGAACGACCACCATTGTCCATCATTTACCTATCCGTTTGCCAACCTGAAGCGTATTGCAACGTGAGGAATGTAACGCGAATCAATCGTATTTTACGATTCGTTCGGTGCATTCGGTACATTTGTATAATATTATATATATATAATACATTTAGAATTATTATACACAGATAAATAATAAATAAGCGAAAGATTTTATAAAAGAAAGTTTCACTTATACGAGATCTAACTTTTACGTAGCGATTGTAACTTTTTTTTGATCGGTAAAAAACCAACAACAGTGCAACGTGCTGAAAACTCGAAATGCGTTTTATAATAATAATTACTGTCTCACGAGAACGAGTGAAGTTCGCATGAATTACGTTTGTAAATTATCGCGACGCGTGCTGGTACTCTGTTTATCAGTACATTTCGTACATTTTACGATCGACAATATATTTTAAAACTGAACGATTAGTATCGTTCAGAATTTTGAATCTCGTGCCAAAAGATTTTTGACGACAAATCTTTGCCATGTTTATGCATTGCCATACATTAAACGAGATAACAGATAAAAAGAGAAGAGAATTCGAATATCTCCAAATGCGTTAATATTATTAGATACTCAATATTCATCTTACAATTGAAGAATCGTTAGAATATATAATATTTTATCAATTGTTAAACTAATCTGACTAACGAATTTTTTTTTCTATTACGGAGGGGAAAATCTTCCAAAGATACCCGTCCTTCCACAGCGAATCCGGAATCCAGTCGGCCACTTGTACCTACGTATACGTCTTTGAAAGGACCAAAATATTCTCTCGCGAAACAAGTCATACGTTCTTGACAGAACTACAATAATTCACCAGGTAGATAAATTATATACACACGTTCATTATCATTGATTTAAAACTTGTCTTATCTTCAATCCTTTACACATAAAATTTTTCGATTTACATAAACACACCGGCGGGAGCTGTGACACCGTTCATCAATTAATATTTGATATTTAAAATATATGAAACTGGTTTTTCTTATATACACATTTGTATGATAATCGTGATCCTACACGTGTGTCTCTTATGAGTTGCGTATGAGGGAGATAAAACGAGAAAGCAGGGCGGACGACGAGTTCCAACTAAATGCTGTTGTACAAATGTATGAAATTATTTACTAAACGATATCGTATACAGAATATTCTTATTCATATAAACGATTTATGCACGTTAAATACTTATTATCGACAATTGCATGTAGATACGTCGTTAAAAGTTAAGGATGTATTGGCTATACAGTCAATCCCAAAAGTTTATGTGCCTTAGAAAAACGCATTTGATATAATTAAAAAGAAATCAGACGTCGGAAGAACAATGCTAATAATAAATAGCTACGTGCTAAAAAGTATAGAAGGAAATATCCAATTAAGTATTGACGCTGACGAAAAATTTTT